GCACTCGATATAAGGAAAATTTGATTTAAGCAAAACTCGATATAAGAGACATATTTTACTGCACGCACAGCACTGCTGTACTTTATATAAGCAAATTTTAATTCAAATACGAGCTTTGTACAAAAGTTTTGATTAGAAAAACAGTAAATGAAAACACGTTTTGTATAAGAGTGTTGACTATTTTCATAGAAACACATTTTGTGTTAAAAATGGCTGACAAAAGGTATTGAAATTGGTTATTATTAGAGACTAACAAAACTTGTAAGTATAAAGTGATTAATAAATTAGAAAATGAAATTTATAATAGTACACAAAAGTATTTAAAACAAACAAAATTTACTGATTATATGAATTAAATATACTTTTATCTAATAAAACACAAATCTAAGCCTATATTTGATGTTTTTAATTAAATTTATATGAGACTCGATATAAGGAGAATTCGATTTAAGAGACACATTTTTGTTTCACCAATCATTTCCTTAAATCGAGGATAAGGTGTATTAAAACCTTTAAATTTTATCATTTGAAAAAATGCATCTGGATTACTAGGGGGTAGCTTTATTAAAATGAAAATGGTTCACTGGTTCTTGTGTACAATATACAGTATATGGCAACTAGTTGTATTTAATGGAATTAGTGATTAAAATTTATTTTTAAATACTAAATTACATTTACAATCTTGGTAATACAATAAACACCTGCACAATCTAAGAGCATTTATTGACATTGAAAACAATACCATGTGTTGATCATCACACAAATATTGGTCAGTAAACGATAACAATAAAGATAAAACAATAGCTCAAAAAACTATTTCTATTATAAATGCAATGTTGACAGGGTATATAAGTCCGTAACACAATTAATAAGCATAATACAAAGTACAACCATGGGTAAATTAACATTGTTACTAGTATTAGGTGTATGCATAGCCGGGTCGCTGCAATCGCCGCGCGGTTTCCGCAATGTTGACCACTTAATTGAATACATAAACAACGCCAACACTACATGGAAGGTGAATTTATTTTACAAAAAAAAACAATTGTGCCTAGGTGAGTTACTTAAATAATTAACACTTAGTGTTTTTCAATGGAAAGGCGGGCAAAAACTTTGACGACTCGTATTCACTGGAGTACGTGAGGGGACTGATGGGTGTCCGACGCCCGGAGGGGGCACTGGATTACGTGGAGAGTGCGGCGCCCGTCTACTCAGGCGTTGACATACCCGACGAGTTTGACCCGCGAGTCCAATGGCCCGAATGCAAGTCACTGTCGGAGATCAGAGATCAGGGCTCCTGTGGTGAGTGCCCGGGAAAATAGGGTCAATAGTTGTAATCGTTAACTAAAGCACCTGTACTTTTGTTCGTACAGGCGGGTGTTGGGCCTTCTCGTCAGTCGAGGCCATGACTGACCGGCTGTGCATCGCATCGAAGGGCAAACAACAGGTGGAGCTGTCGGGCGAGGATATGGTGGC